TTCCAGCCGTTTTTGGATAATCTTCAGTAAAATCTTGCTTGCATGTGAAATCAGTGAGATTGTTCTGTAGTTTCCACATTCTGTTGTGTCACCTTTCTTTGGGATAGGAACAAATATCGATAACAGACACAGGGGAGACCAAAAGGCCAAATGGCAGGAAAAGAACAAAGCTTTGATTCAAGGCCGTAGTACTAGATTCTCAAATTATTACATAAACTTGTACAACATGAATCTATTCATCACAGTGAATGAGAAGATCTTTCATTTGTAATCAGTTCTGTGTATGCTTAGGACTGATACAGAAGTACATAGCTCAAATATTGTAATTTTCCTGGACCACATCTTCGAAAACTGAAAAAATTTGAGGATTCAGGAATTCAACATAACTGTAATTTAAAAAAAGCAGACTGTCAGTGGTAACCAGAGTTAAAGCTGATTGAAATAATCAAACAATTAAGAAAGAAAAATCTATGCTATTCATTTTAACATTTACCTCCAAAGTTTATAAATAAAGGTGAACAATAGGAAATTTTTTTCTGCCCTATGCGGTGTGTCAGAGGCGGTGCGGTTGGCGCAGGATAGAGCAGGGTTTAGGGCTGTTATGCATAGGGTCGCTATGAGTTGGAAACGACTCGAGGACACATAACAACAACAACATGCCTTGTAACTATAGAATATGACAATTCATAATTATTTCTTAATATTTTAGCAGGAGACAACCAGAATAATAAATAATAACGCTATCTTTTTGCTACACCTTTTTAGTTACTAAAATATTTCCCAAGTTAAATGTCACACTTGTACTTTCTAAAATTTCTTAAAGACAATCTGTGTATAAGCCTTTAGTTACTTACCAACAACTCCAGGTCCTTGAACTTCTTCTACATCACCTTTAGCATTTGTTATTCTCCAATAGCGACTGTCCAGTTGACAAGCCTTCTCAGGAAGTGCATCCTTTGACATTTCAATCCTAGATGGAGAAGAGAGTAGAGTGGTGAAAAATAAAGGTGGCCTTTTTTTACAATTACAGTATCACACAAATACTTTGGGAGGAATTTCCAAAGGAAATCCACAAAAGCTATTATTATTATTATTATTATGATGATGTGGTGCTGAGTTACCCTAGGAACACCAGATCACAATTTCTGAAATACCTGAGCACATTTTTAGTCACTGTGTCAATCCCACCTCTCTTCCTCTCTTTTGCTGACCCTCCGCCTTTTCAGTCATGATGTCTGTTTCCAAGGACAGGCCCCTCTCTCCTAACAACATGCCCAAAGCATGTGAGATGAAACTTGATCATCCTCACCTCTAAGGAACACCCAGATTGTACTTTGGTCCTTAGCACTTTGGGGAGATCCTTAACAGTAGATTTTCCCAACGCAACACATCTTATGATTTCTAAATGGCTGTTACCATGGCTGCTGGATGTGGATCCAAGCAAAATGAAATCATAGTTCCAATTTTTTCTCCACCTATGATCATGATGTTAACTATTGGTCTAGTAGTGAGAATTTCTTGGTACTGAGATGTAATCTACACTGAAGGTTGCAGCTATTGATCTTCTGGAGCAAGTGCTTCAAGTCTTTATTTACAGCAAGCAAAGTTGTGTCGCCTGCATAAGGTAGGCTGTTGATGAGTCTTCCTTTGACGTTGATGGACCATTCTTCTTCATAAAATCCAGCTTCTTGAATGATTTACTCAGCATACAGATTGAACAGGTATGGAGAAAGGACACAGACCTCACAAACATCTTTCTTGATTTTAAACCATGCAGTGTTCCCTTGTTCTGTTCACACAACAGTTTCTTGGTCTAGGTAGAGGTTTTGCATGAGCACAATGTTCTGGAATTCCCATTCTTCTCAATATTAGCCATAATTTGCTATGATTCACACAGTTAAATGTCTTTGCATAGCCAATAAAATGGAGACAGACATGTTATATTATCTATCCCTGTAAGTTCTCAAAAGACAGTGGCCTTATCAGTTGAATCCCCACACTAATGCTTCTACTACATTTTGTGCACTCCACTCTCAGTGAGTTGTGTTCCACTGGTGGCAACGATCTTCTGCTCTTGAAATAAAGATCTAACAATCTCTTTCTAGACTAGAGTTATGTGCTGTTGAGTCAGAAGTGACTCAGAGCTGACCCTGTAGTGAGTTTTCAGAGGCTGTAAATTGTAGAAGACTGTCCATCTTTATCCCATGGAACAACCTGTGGATCTGAACCACATTGTGGATCTGAACCACAATGCCTGAGTTGGCAGTACAGCTTCTTACCACTAGGCTGCCTGAGTTCCCTATGACTAACATGTGTTGTTCGGTGCCACTGAGTCAAGTACTCATCAAAGCAATCCTATGAAAACCAGATCCTGTACCTTGTCCTAGCCTGTGCCATCCTCACAATCTCTGACACACTCAAGCCCCTTGCTGCAGTCACTGGGTCAATCCACAGGGTTCAGAGGCGTCCTCTCCTTCATTGTCCCTCCACCTTTCCAAACATGAAAGTCCTTCTCCAAGGAATAGCCTCTCTTAGCAACATGACTAAAGTATGCAAGATAAAGTTTTGTCATCTTTGTTTCCAAGGAGCACCCTGGCTGCACCATCTCGAAGACTTGTCAGTTGTTTTAGCAGTCAATGAGATATTCAGTGCTTTTCTCCAACATAGAAACCATTTAATAAATACTCAATTTTATGTTGACTGTAGTCAAGGTCCCAAGACCTCTGATCAATCAAGGTGGCTTAGTGGTAAGGAACTGCACTATCAATGCAAAGGCAAGCAGTTCAAATCCCCCAGCTGCTCCGTGGGACAGAGACGGGCAAGATCCTCCCATGCAGTTTTTACTGCCTCTGAAAACCCACTAGAGGGTCAGCTGTGAGTCAGTTCCAACACGACAAAAGAATAGTCAGGCTATGTGAAATTTAAAATACATAGTTTTATCTTCAACAGTGAGATTGCCTCTAGGATATTAGTTTCATATACATATATGTAACTGCACCTGTATATTCTAACTGGTACAATACCTTAAACATAGGATATTTGCAATAAATCATCTAAGGTTAATGTAAACTCAAGGCACTTATATTAGAAAAAATTCTTTATCTTCCTTCCTGAAAATTTAAAATGTGTTTCATCTATCATGTCAAATGGGCAAAATCATTGTACCAAAGAATTATATCCCATTATTAACTGAAAAGTGAGTCCTTTAATATTCTCACCGGATGCGGTATGTGAAGAAGTAATGAGGAGGATGGACAGAGCTAAGTTCTGGCAGAAACGATGTAGAAACAGAAACGGTAATATCTCCAGTTGTTGCTACACACTCAGGATCGTGGACATATCTATGTCATTGAAAACATTGGAAATGAATTACAAATCAAAGAGAAGGTTTAAAGATAAAATGCAAAACAGTTTATACTTAAGATCAAAAACTGAAACCACATTAATATTTTTGGACCTTAACAGTATAGTCCTATTAGGCTTACAAGAAAACTAAGGATTAGAATTAGAAACTAACTAGAAAACTTTGACAACTCTAGGTCCATAATGATTCAACGTTCAATGTAAAGACTGGGTCAGAAATAAGATTGGAAATGAAAATATTTGGTTTTCAGAGCTGACAAAACTTTATTAACATCTGAGAACCCAAATGAACTCTATATATTGTGGCTCTGACCAAAAAAAATACTACCGATATATCACTCCTTGAAAACTGGTACATATATTTACTTTATTGTTGCTGAAATTCCAGCTGCTGTTAATTTTACCTCTCATTTAATACCTAACTTGCTATTTGGAGACAATAATTTACCCCACGAGTTAATAGTTACTAACTTGTTATTCATGTAAATATACTAAATGACACCTTACCTTTTTCCTCGTGAAATAAACCATGTAGCTACTATAAAGCCATGACCTTTTAACCCAAAATTTTTCTTCCCCACACCCTCAATCCTTCCAAGATAAATATTGGTTGTTGAAGTGTTTGGGAAATTTGGCTTGTAAGTGAGATTTAAGATTGTTGTTGTTGTTGTTATGTGCTGTCGAGTCGCTTGCGACTCATAGCGGCCCTATGTACAACAGCCCTAAACCGTGCTCTGTCCTGTGCCAATCGCACTGTCTTTGACACTCCCATCCCAATTATCCCAGTCACTGAATCAGTCCACCTCATAGAGGGCCTTCCCTTTCTGCGTTGTCCCTCCACCCTCCCAAGCATAATGTCCTTCTCCAAGGACCGGTCTCTCCTCAGAGTTAATTAAGTTCTGTTATTATTATTATCCTTCCTGGGGAAAGCATCTCTCATGATCTGGGAGGTTCTCATTTACATTCACCTCAATCTAAAATACCCTAAGTGAAATACCTGAAAATTTGGTCTCGGATGATGGGAAAGCCACCTGATACAACATTGTTGACGTAAGAGGTAAACCATTCAGTGAAAGTAGCACCTACAAACCAGTAAGGGAAAAAAAAATTATTTCTGAGAAATTCCAGAAACAATTTATCATTTCTCTCTACTTCAAGTCTGAAACTGAACCTGAAAACATTTATAGGTAAAATTCCAATTCATCAGGTCAATTTCTATTGTCAAGTCTATCCACACTATTTCTGTGGGGTTCTGTAGCTAAACAAATGGTTAGAAGTTTAAATGTACCCTGAGGTGCCTTTGAATAAAGGCCTGGCTTTTAGGTCTCTAATATATCAGTATTTTACTATATCACTAGATTAAAAAAGAAAGTATAAAGTTGTTTTACATGTACCTACCTATATCTCTAGATACATGTAGAACAACTTTATCAGCAGTCTGATAAGCTAGTAATGTAAAGGGATGCTCCACACATGTGCATGTTATAAGGAACATATATGTACTCATCACAGTGATCTATACTTTTCACTGTTCTACATCAGAATCCTAACAGTATGAGATTGGACAGGACATAGTTTTTTCCCCAAATGGAAGTAAAATTCTAGTAAAACTAGTTAAGTTTTTTACCAACTTAGTTTGTCAACCATGAGGCAAAAAGGAAATAGACCATTTTTTCTTACCTATGATAAACATATCAATTGCAGCTGGATTCCGAGCTATTTGGTCCTAGGTTAAGAAAAAGAATGTTATAATCGAGAAAGGAGCTTTTTTTCCTTAATCTCAATGTTCCTAATTCCATATTCTTAGACAAGGCAAAATAGACAAGAAATAAAACTAACTTAAATGTTCCAGTCAATACTAATACTCGACCTTTTATACTTTTCAGCTCCTGCTCTTATGATTTCTTTATATGATCTCTCTATATCTCTATATCTCTATAAAGATATTTCCTGTTGTTTAACTGAAGTTGTAACCCACGCCTTCAATAAAGAATTGTATCTTGAGACAGAAAACTCAAATACCTACTGAAGAGAAGGCTTAAAAGTTTTTACTGTACTGAGCTTGAATCAGAATTTTAAATCTAAATTTTTAAAAATTAGAAAAAATATAATTACTTTCATAAATTTTCCTTTATATATACTGTATCTTTTACTGTTTGTCTGGTGGAAAAGTTTGCTTCTGGCATTTTATACCATGTCAGAATATTAGTCCTCTAGTTAGGTATATCTGTCAGAAACTGTGTAATTCTCTATGCCCATTCTATATCTTGGAAATATCTAATGCACACACGCTTATACAATGATCAGAACATATCTTAAGCAACTTTGGTTGGACACATGTTCTACTTACAGGACATTGGTAGAAAACTTCATTTTTGTTTCGGCCTTCTGCAGTTTCCACTGCTATGTACTGACTCAAACCAGTGTGTATGCAAAAAGTTAAAGGGAGACAATATTTCAGTCCCTGTCTCTGTTGGAACCCTCCAGCAGCCGTATCAACGTCTAACAAATCCTCAGAACGATAGTGGTTAGACAGGGCCATACTTCCCAATAACCTGAAGAGAACACAGACTCAAACATTTAACAAACTGTAGTACCAGACAAACAGCTGTGCTTTTTAAGAATAACACTTATTGCTCTGATGAGTAAGTTCACATTATCTACTTTGTAAGCACTGATCAAGACACCAATTAACAAACAGGAATGACACAAATATTAACAATTTCTAGATATTAAATCCAAATTATTTCTGAGTAAAAAAAGATGAGGATTTAAAGACCCTAATGTTATCCTTTAAAAAAAGAAATCAAATTTTACTGCTCTCAAGTATATAAAGGAACCGCTTGAAATATAAATTCCAAGATAAATTCTCTCTAAAAGCTTTATTTGCAATCTTTCATTGACTCTGTATCTAGTGGGCTATATGCTACACTAAGTGAAAAGTTGGTCATATGAACCCATCAGCTGCCTGAAAGGAGTAAGTTCTCTGTAGTGGAGATTTCCAGTCCTGGAGCCTGACAGAAAGTTATCATGAATCAGCACAGACCCAGTGCCAGCAGGTAGCTCTACTGAGTGGCATAAATGTAAATCGGCCTAAACCTTGTCCAAATTTTCATAAACTCTACATGTCTTGGATTCAAACTGATTTTACTATATTTACATGATAGCAACACAGGTCTCAAGGCCTGCCCAGCCCTTGATGAAATTCTTATCCTAAGTCTAATGGCTTGGGTTACATATCCATAAAAATTCCTGTTTTAAAATTTATGACCCGTTTTCTAGGTTAATTTTAATCAATTCTTTTAACAAAGTTCTCCTCTATTCTTGAAGTATGACAATTTTTCAACTCTATCAAGTTTCAGTTGGATAGGAAAACAGACTGGGGTATACAAGACCTAGGATTTGATTTCTGAATACTGTCCGTCCTGTCAATATCATGACCTCTAGGTTTCTCTGCACTCACGTAACAGATCCTCACAGAATTCTTCAGAGACAAAGGGATAAAACCAATGCAAACTTCTCCCTAAATTCTGATTAGCATTTCACAAGTGTGACGGCTCTTAAATAGTTTCATAAAGTACAAAAGGCACAAACTTTTTCAAAGCATTCCACATTTGAAACTATGAGCAAATATGACAGCTAACTGCATGGTCTGCTTTCATCAAAAGGTTCCACAAAGAATACTTAACCCTCTAAAGGTGAGTTTAAAAATACTATTTAGTTATGTAGGGCTTAAATGTGACAAAACCTTATTTTGTCTATATATGCAGTTCTGAGCAAACTAGTGCTTTTAATGTACAGGACACAGAGAAACTGTATCAAATTCCCAAAACCATTTACGTCACTTGTAAGAGGATATTTCAAGCATTGTCAAGTTTTAGCTAACACACACTCATGTACACCTCTACCCTATATCCTTTCAACAGTCTCTATTTCCAACTAGACTTCATTTGAACTACAAGCAGACCACATGTTATGGATGCGATCTGTTCACAAGTGTATAGATAAGTGGAGTTTGCAAGTAAGTTGGATTAGGTGGATACATTTCTTATATAGCCTTCCTTTATCTCATCACTGTCTCTGATTCTCCAGTGGGATTTCTAAAGCTGTAAATCGTGCAAGAGAAGACTGGTCATCTTGTTACCAAGAAATTGCTGGAGGACTTGAACTGCCAGTGAGGCACAGCCTTTGGGTCAGCCGTGCAACTCCATCTGAACTAGGCCATCCGCGCTCCCTAGTTTTGCTTTCGTGCATGAAAATGCTTCCAGCCTTTTAATGATTTAAGAGTGACATGTGTAGCAAGAACAGGTGATTGTGATGAATTTGTTTTGTGCAGGAGTTGGTTGAATGTGAGGACAAATGTAAACATGAAAGGGCATTAAGAAGTTGTGCCTAAGTCAAAGTTTATAACATGAGGACTGCTGAAATGAGAAATGGTGTTTTTGGTAAAATAAAATTCAGGCTACTCCTGTGAGGTACTACCAAAAGGAAGAGAAAAATTAAAAAACAACATTCGACATCTACTGGGTTTTTAAAAATCTTCATTTTTGAACACTCATCTGAGGTGCAACTATTGGTCTCTCCTGTCCAGATAAAAGACAAATGATGAGAATCACAAACTGTAGCCCAAAGGATTAACAGAACCATGTGAACGTTGGTCCCCATGACTTGGAAACCATAAGAATTAGACAGTGTCTGGCTTCCACTTCTGGCCACTCTGAAAGGTACCACAGTAGATGGTTTCTGAGAGCGTGGGTGAAAACTGAAGCAATACATAAAATCATCCCAAGACTAGGCTTACCAGGCTGGCAAAAGACTAGCAGAACCCCTCAGGATGTGGCCATTAATTACTCATTAGGTCTGCAACTGTAATCACAAGGATTCAACTTTCAAGCACATTAAAGGATCTGGAACAATATGGAGGAAGGCACTCCCCAGAACCGCCAACTATACAAGAATGAAAGGGCAGCATTTGCTCAGGGGTAAAGTACAGAGGGCAGGAAAGGTAGGGAAGAAGTATAAATGGAAACAGGGACTGGGAAGAAATCTCAAGACTGCCAGGACAATGAGGGGATGTACCCAGTGTCATGAAACATAATGTGTATGAACTGTTGAGTGAAAAAACCATTTGTTCTGTTAACTTTCATCCAAATCATGAAAGAAGTTAAAAAAGGGGAGAGGAGAGAATTTTGACTCCTTCACTCTGTTGGTGGTAACAACAACATAGCTTGTTGATCTTCTTTCTAGACATTAACCTGTATCTTTAGAATAACGAAAGCTGGGACCATCTTACCCAGGAACCACTAACTTCTGCCCATTGTGGATACGGTAAGAGCATCGATAATCATCAGGAAGCTTACAGCCAATTTGAGCTTCCACTGCATCTAGGTCTTCTTCTCTTGTCCCCTCTGCAAAAAGACAGAAAAAGCAAACTGTAAAGAAACATTAAACATTAAAATCTAAGACGAAATACTATCCATGCACAAACTGATGAAACAATTTCCGAGTAAGTAAGTTCTGTCCAAAATGCACACCTGGAATAAGGGATGTGAACTGAAAATTCAAAGAAATATTTTACCTCTTTGGATTGGCTTTACCATTTAAAATGTTCTGAAAAAGGCAATTCCTCAGGTTCCTCTCAAAAGAGAAAACACTAGCACTAAATATGGAAAGATGGGCATCAATAAATTCCACAATAATTTCCCCCCGTACATTATAATGCTAACTTTATGCTAGGTCTTATTTTGCGGAGTCACTTCCTCTGAAACTTGCTGGAGGGTCAGCTATGAGTTGGTCCCAACTCGACTGCATATATAACAACTTATTTTTCTAAATCTAATATACTCATGCTTCTTTCCACTGATGTGGCTCAAGAGTCTCAATGTAACCATGTAATGTGAAATACAAGATATAGGGTAATACTGTGAGGAGGCTGTTGACCTGGATTCTATTCTTTTAAAAGCAGGAAGAAATTAAAGACGCTATGTTCAGACATTCCTCTAGGTCGTACAGCCCTGGTGTACAAGCTGCCGTCCCACGGTCACTTGTGGTTGCTGTGAGGCTGAACACTGTGACACGGATGTGTCAAATGCGTTAATGGTTGGCTACCCAGTGCGGATTGAGATTGGGGTGGAGCTCCCCGATTAAACAAGCGTGGAAGGAGGAGTGGCGTCCACTTCCATTATAGCTTGCCTCCGGAAACCCTATGAACCTGGAGAGAGGATGAAAGGCACCCAAGCGTCGAGGACTCTCCTTCATAGGGTCGCTATGAGTTGCCTGCGACTCGACTCGACGGCACTTAACAACAAACAACAACATGAGAAGAGAGCTACTTCCAGCAAATGGCCTAGCAGGTCCAATAGCTACCAACCCTCTTGTTGTAAATAATGAAAAGCTAAAAACAAACAAACAAACTGCTTTGAAGTGGCTGCAGAACTACTAAGGCAATGATGGGATCTAGCAAAGGGAAATGAGGAGAGGGCAGCCTGACTTGGAGGGCGGGCTTGTCTCTGTCCTAACTACAAATTCTGAAAGCAAAAGGGAGGCTGAGCAATTGAGTCTGCAAGTCTGGAGTCTAAAGGAGAAAGGGACTGAGTCAAACTCAAGGACTTTTGGCTGGGATACAACATGTTCAACTTGATGCCCTCAAGTGAGAACCAAACTCATAGCTGACCCTCCCAACAGGTTTTCAGAGGCTGTAAATCACATGAGAAGAGACTGCCCCTCTTTCTGCCATGGAGTAGCTCATGGATTCAAACTGCCCTGCCAACTTGTTGTTAGGGGCTATCAAGTCAAGCACGACTCAGTGACCCCATCAACAACAGATCAGAATACTGTCCTATCCTGTGTATCCTGTGCTATCTTCATCATCTCTGACATACTTGAGCCCATTGTTGTAAATCACTGTGTCAACCCATCTCATTGCGAGTCTTCCTCTCTCTCACTCACCCTCCTCCTTTCCAAGAACGTCTCCTTTAGGGGAACAGTCCTTCCTCACAACATGACCAAAGTAGGTGAGATGAACATTCAGTATCCTAGCCCCTAAGGAACACTGATTGTACTTTATCCAAAGACATCTGTTTGTAATTCTGGCAGTTCATGGAATATTCAGTACTCTTCTCCAACATCACAACTTAAAGGCATCAATTCTTCTGACATCCTTATTCATTGCCCAGCTCTCAGATGCTTAGGAAGTGACTATAAAGACCATGGCCTAAATCAGGCACCTTAGCCTTTAAACTGACATCAATGTTCCTTAGCATTTTAGATAAGTTCTTGACAGCAGACTTTACCAATGCAATATATCATTTGATTTCTTTGACTGTTGGTACCAATGGTGTTAACTGTGATTTAAGTAAGATGAACTTTTGGAGTAGGGGGGGATAAAATGGTTGACAATGAAATCTTTTCTCCAGCAATCTTGATGTTACCTATTGGCCCTGTGATGAGGACTTTTGTCTTACTGATATTGAAATGTAATCCATATTGAAGGCTATAGTCTTTGAACTTCTTCAGCAAGTGTTTCAAATCCTCTTCCCTTTCAGCAATCATGGTTGTATCATATGCATAAGAGGTGGTTAAGAAGTCTTCTCTGATCCTGATGTCATGTTCTTCTCCATAAAGCCCATCTTCTTGAATGATATGCTGAGCATATAAATTGATTAGGCATAGAGAAAGGATACAGCCCTGACACCTTTCTTGATTTTGAAATCATGCGGTATTCCCTTGCTCTGCATAATTACGTGTTCTGGAATTCCCATTCTTCTCAATGTGAGCCATAACTTTATTATCCACGCAGTTCATAGTCAATAAAACAGAGACATCTTTGGTATTCTCTGCTTTTAGCTGAGATCCAACTGACATCAGCATTGATACCCTCATGGTACAGCCTCTTTGAAAGCAGTTCCCTGTCAGAGTACTGTTCTAGCCATGTTTGGATATTTGGCTTGCATGTGATATTAACGATATTGTTCAATAATTTCCACATTACAAAAATAATTCCTATGAGGTCACATATGGTCCCACATTTCTGCACCTACTTCTACTCATTTTAACACCAACTCAGATCTCACACCGCTCACTACTGGGTGCAAAGTTTGTTACAATAGCCATACAGATATCATAGGCCTAGATCACAGTTGTGAGGTTTCTTTAGGGACATTAACAGGTCGGCAACAGGAAACTCAGTTTCCCAAGCATATCTGCAGGCCCTTTGACCTTCAGTCTCTTGGCTTTTGTCAGTGTTACAAGTGTCTTAGTCCTAGTCAGTTAAGGCCCCTTGCCCTAGTCCGCCAGCAAGCTTGGGTGATCTGTGGCTGTTTCCACAGGGCAGCAATCCCAAGTCAGCTCTGTCTCTTGCTGGTGTCTGGTTCTCCACTACAGCTGTTGTTCGTGGTCTGACTGGTATAGCAATCTCTAGCCCTGAAGGATGTGTACTACATTCTTTGTGTCTTCTTTATTGCTGGTTGTGTGATTCTCATCTTCTGTTTAGTGTAAAACTGATAGATGGGAGTTGTTTATACACACTCTATTTCATGTTACCACCCAGCCATGTGGTGAAAAAAATCAAAGCTGATGGGTAGGAAGGCCATTTTGAACAATAAATCCATGATACCACAGAGGGAAATGTATATCCTTAGATACAGTTGAAGAAAACAATGGAGGCTGAAAATTTATGACCTAAGTAGTCAGGAAACCAAAACAGAACAAAAATAGTAAAATAATCTTTTAGAGAAGAAAAAAAGAGGAAATTTTAAAAGTTACTGAAATAGGTGTGTGGAGAGTCTGATGCTGCTGGATGTCTAACTAAGAAGTCACCTTGAAGTGACTTCGGACCACAGCAAGAATCGCAAATGCCACTTCAATGCCCCCTCACACGTTCACAGGAAGATCGCGTCCTCCCTGCTGTCCAAAGAGCTGTGCTGGAAGTAAAACACGTGCTCCATGCCCATCTGCAAGGATGACAAGGTCCAGGGGCTACGAGGACATCACAAAGGCCAGCAAATTGGTAAGGTAGTCCAGGTGTACAGAAAGAAGTATGCCACCTACACTGAAAGAGTGCAGCGTGAGAAGGCTAGTGGTACAGTGTGCCATGTGGGCATTCACCCAAGCAAGGTGGTTCCCACCAGGATGAAACTGGATCAAGACTGGGAAAAAAGTTCTTGAACGTGAAGCCAAATCTCACACAGCTGGGAAAGAGAAAGGCAGGACCTACTAGAAAAGGCAGGAATGACTGCACCCTGCTGAGTAGCCACAGTTTCACTAGGTTTCTAGTCAAGTGTGTGTTCCGTTGAACTTTCCCTCTCCTTGTTTTTTGTAATTATGATGCATAATTTTAACAATAAAAATTGGAAATGTTTCCCAGTTGGGAAAAAAAAAGTTAATAAGAAAACAGAAAGGTCTGATGAAGGCAGAAGCTTCTGGAAGACTAATAAAACTTACCACAACAAGATAAAGGTAAATAATTCAATTGAAAAATGGACACAGTATATGAACAGACACTTCACCAGAGAAGACAAGAGATGGCCAACAAACACATGAAGAAATGTTCAAAATCCCTAGCTCTAAAAGAGATGCAAATCAAAACAACTATGAGATATCATCTCACCCCAGTCAGAATGGCAAAATTTAACAGAAGAGCAAGCAACAAATGCTAGTGAGGTTGTGGTTGGTAGAAGTGTAAAATGGTGCGACCACTATGGAAAATGGTGTGGCGCTTTCTCAAAAAGTTGCAAAAAGAGACACCATTTAACCCAGCAATTCTACTACTGGGAATATACCCTAAAGAGACCATAAATGACATCCAAGCAGATATATGCACACCCATGTTTACCGTGGCTTTGTTCTCAATAGCAAGGAGCTGGAGACAACCCAAGTGCCCATCAACAAACGAATGGATAGAGAAGCTGTGGTATATTCACACAATGGAATACTATGCTGCATTGAAAAACAAGGAACTCATGCAATATTATTCAAAATGGGTGACCCTGGAGGACATTATGCTGAGTGAAACATCTCAGTCACAAAAAGACAAATACTGCATTGTACCACTGTTGTAGAATGGGACTGACATCAGGGTTGGGGTAAGACTGAGAAAAACTGGATAAATTAAGTATACTGCATTAAAACAGATGAGGGAGAGAATAGTTTAAAAGTGATATATGATAGGGTATTATGGTTATCACAAGAGTCCAGAATTAAGGTTGCATAGTGGCGTGTACTCGGGACAGTGGGGAGAGGGGATGCAGGGGGATTGTATACCAGTGAAAGAATTTTTCTTTTACTTTTCAAAGAAAGAGGTGAACTGGAGTGGGGGAGGGCTAGGCAGGGAGAAAAGTTTAACAATGAATGGATAGAAATCCAAAATCTCTGTAAATATTCATTAAATAAAAAAAAATACAACAAAGAC